AGAAAAATGGCCGGAGTCAACAGTGTTGTCACATTGGTGGTCGAGTTGTTTTTGTTGTTGTTGTTGTTGTTGTTGAGCACCGTGGTGGATGGGATAAAGAACGGCGGCAACGTCGTGAAGAATTTGTTGGCTTCCAAAATGGACGGCCGTGGGGTATACGTCTTTTTCTTGCTACTGCTGGTGTCCTTGCTGCTTTTGCGGGGTATACTGGTACCCTTGACGACGACATCCGGGGAAGTAGTATCATTAGATACCACCCAGTTGATTGTACTTGCCGTTTCATTGGGGTTGATTCCAAGTTTAAAGGCAGGATCCGACAGCGTCATTGGACCCAGGAGTTCCAAGGCATCATGGAACTCCTCAGACAATTGGCCTTGTTGATTGTCTAGAAGATTGTCTTGAATATTAGCCGAAAAGAACACAGGACTAAGGACATCCAGTTCCATAGCTTCAGGTTGTTGTTCCTTTAGTTCTGGTGGTGCATGAATAATATTGTCATCAGCAGCTTCATGTGTTGATTTGGGGTTGTGCAAGTTGTGATCATTATCACTGCCACTGATATGCATACTGCTCAGGTTCATCATTGAGGCATGCTCTGGAAGGATTTTGGGGATTTCCTGTAGGATATTGTCATTGGTATCATCTGTGCTGCTGCTATTGTTGTTGTGGTGTTCCTGAATTTGCAGAGCAGTAGTATCAGTTTTGTTTTTGTTGTTCCGATTCTCTTTTTCGGACCTTCCAATCATCCTGTAGATGGCCTTGTTGAAAAATAAATGTCGCTGGGTATTTCTTCTTTGGGTAGCATGGCTAGCAGCACTGATTCTTCTACCACCATGACTGGCATGATCCTTGCAAATCTGGGCCAGTTGTAGTTGTGGGCGGTGTCGATGGTGGACTGGAGAAAAAGCGAATGCTACCCCAAGAAGAATTCCCCAAGCAGCCACAACAAAGGGGACCAGCTGCTTCTTCATCTTGATAATACTGATAGATCAGCCAGTCTAGGTACGTGTCAACCAACAAGGCAGTTCCAGTTGCTCTTTGAAGCAATCAAAAATGGTTGGATGTCCAGCTCCAATGCCTCAAATTCGACCAGAAACTGGTTTGTCTTGTGGATGGATGTGCGCCACGGTAGCTAGCTAATCTACTACTAGAGAAGAAAACCTCTCATTCAAGGTACCTTGGAGATTCCATGAGTTGAGTCTCTTTTACTCTCCTTTCTCTTCTTTCTCTTCCAATCGCACTTTTCCTTGGCCATTCCCAGGAGGGCCCCAGGTTTTAGCGGTAGGGTTAGCACGTGCCACCTTCGCCAAAATTCGGATTCAGAATAGTCGCGCTAGTCGCGGTGAGTCGCGCTAAAAGTCGTGGTAAAGTCGCGAACGACTTTATAGTCGCGCTGAATAGTCGCGGTAAAGTCGCGCTATAGTCGTTCACCGCGACTCACCGCGACTGACCGCGACTCACCACGACTATCTATCTATTATACTCCATAAAACAGTTGACAATGATGAGACTTTTGCCGCTGTTACTTCCTATTAGACTGTTACTTCCTATTGCTGTAAGGCTGAACAGACCCCTTACGACTCTTGTCCGGTCGGGGCTTGATGGTCATGGCTTCCTTGCGCTCTTTCTTGGCTCTTTTGGCTGCTGTTTGCATTGGGTTTTCGCCATAAGGTTTTGCTTTCTCTTTCATCTGATCAATCCTTTTGGCAAACCTCTTCTTGCCGAATGGCTTGTACTCTGGCCTTGTATCAAAGAGATCCCCAGGAGTCATTTCCTCATGAAGCATGTTGCCCATGTCTTGGTCGAGAAGCTCAGCTGCGTCGGAACCTCTCCAGACTGGTTTGCCAGTTGGATCATGGGTGGGAAAGCCATACTCTTCTCGAGCCTCCGCAAGGCACTCTTCGTCATATTTGCATGACCATTTAAGCCGTCTGACAACAGTTTGAATACGAGCAAAGCGTGTCCTGTAGCGCTCCAAATCAAAAGGGAAATTGGCAAATTCTGGTTGGTGAGCATACAGAGTTTCATAAAGATCTGTCACGTCCTTGATTTTCTCATCTACGGGAACCAAGCCATCCATCATATCCTGCGCGATGAGTTGCTTTGCCTCACTAGTCCCCCAATCTGCTCCATTCAAAGTGGCTGGAGGTCTTACCCTTGGCGGATTCGATGCGGTTGGAGCCATGTTGATGGGAACAGGGGAAAATGATGACAACAATCAACCTCGGCCAACACGGGCTCTATTATTGGAATGCCTTACTTGCTGCTGTTAGCTCCGTTGCCATGTGGGTTATCCAGAGGATTTAGAGCCATTAACGATTGTTGGGAGTTTTATAGAGAGAGTCGACTTTGCATGCCGGCTTGGGTTTTGATGCAAATCATTTGAAATTGGTTTTTGGCTCATTATTCATTCGATTGCACGTCCACAATGCCGGCAACCAGAAAGCTTCGAAGCAAGACCATCCCCGAAGACGATTGCCTCGATTGTGACGCCGAGTTTGGAGGAACGTGCTTTGACCCCTTCTCGGTAAGTCCACTATTTGTTTGTGCCTGTCTGCTCTAAGCAATGAAGCTGAGAAGCAACAAAAAGAAAACCAAGCCCAAGTCCGAGCCCAAGTCCGAGCCCAAGTCCGAGCCCAAGCCCGAGCCTCTCCAGATTGGGGAGCATGCTACCTTCTCCTGTGATATGGATTTGCCAGATGAAGGTCTGAAAACGGAAACAAAGATGCTCCTACTCAACTTGCTTGATAAGCACGGAGGTCCCAAAGCTTGCACACGACAAAACAGATTGCTTCATACGATTTGTGGGGCTCATCCAGCAGAATTTGGTGCCACTGGCTCAGTTCGGCGCTCGCGGACAAAATACCTTGTTGATCGGTGGAAGAGAGACAGAGACTTCGGCACAACCAGAGCTAACCTTGTAGCTGTTTTCGATAATCTTTCATTGCAGACGAGCCCCTTGCTTGAACCGGACGACGTTGGCTCGGAGGATACCATCGCAGAGGAGAAGAAACCAAAAGCCAAGTCGACAGTCAAATCAAAGCCAGACAAAGTGAAATCGTCGTCTCCTGCCACACCCATCAAAAGACCCACCAACCACCAACCAAAGGCGAAGGCTCAACCAAACAAAACCATGTCATCCAATATGACTAGCCCCTTAAAATTGCTCCGTGCTTCAGGCACACGAAAAGGTATGTGTTCGCTCTGCGTCGACCGATTGAATTATTAAACCGGTTGCTCACCTCGATCACTTGTTAGATTTGGTCGAGTATTATGATGCCGACCTCGAAAATGAGGACGCTCATGGCGAATATCTTTTGACAATGTCGACAGAGGAAAGAGTTGGCACAAAGCAAGCATCTGCTATTGTCATCTGTCGTCCTAACACTGCTGTTGCTGATATAAAGCACTTGACTGCAACGTTCACGAAAGAGACCATTTCGATCACAGCTCCATCCTCGGACCGATCTTGTATGGAAAATGCTGGAGGCGCTGATGGATGGCTCACGAAACTCAAGAGTATTGAAACTCGGTTCGAAGCTGCCAAGCTTCATACGACTCTCACGTCCATGGTCACCAAGATGAAGAAGAAGCAGCGTCTCAAGACAACTCATATTAGCTTGACAGACATTGGTGTCGAAGTCTCGAATGAATATTTCTCAAAAGGCTGTCCGGATGGTAAGCTGAAGTTGCTTCCGCTCCCTTACAAAGAAACTGGCAAGAATGGAGAGACTATTACAAAAGTCAATGCAGTATGGAGGGCCTTCATTGTCGGAACGCTTGATGATGTCGAGGATGAAGTGCAGCAAAAGGGTGACGAAGATCTCTTGAACGAGCTGCTTGCAGGTTAGATTTCATCCTCAGTGCTGGCCTGTTCTGTAGTGTTGTAAAGCAAACTAAGCAAGTGTTGTTTGTTTCCTTCCTCTTTTTCTTCCCTTGTGTTGACATGGTCCATTAGCTGTAACAATTGCAGGCCCGCCAGTGCCTCAACCACCTCAACCAAATCCTCCACGACCACCTCAACCAAAGCCTCGTCCACAACCACCAAAGCCGCTGCCACAACCACCAAAGCCGCTGCCACAACCACCAAAGCCGCTGCCACAACCACCAAAGCCGCTGCCACCGGCACCTGAGAAGCCTATCGTTGATATGGACAAGCTTCTCACTGAAAAGGAAATGATTAGACACATGGCCCGGTTGAATGTGGCACGTAACTATCTAGAGGAAGAGTTCATCTCGATGTCTAAAACAGGGGATGACACCAACCCAATTGAGGCAATGTTGGCAGACCTCGACGCGTTTGTACAGGAAAACAAACAAGAGCTTGATAGAATCCTTGACGAGAAGGGAGAGCAAGACAGCAACATGGATGTGGACAACGAGAACAAGAAGAGAGCACTTGACGACGACAACAACGATGACGACGATGATAGTATGGATCAAGAGCTGGAGGATTTGCTTGGCGATTATGACGACTAGAAGCAAAGCCATCAACCAGTGCATATAATGAAACAACTACGACCTAAGGATAATTAGACAGTTTTGTTTCCTACTTTATTTACTCGATCTATTATTAGAGGGTGTGCAGGGGCTCTCCGTGTGGAGATGTATCTTCAATCGCGTATTGAGTCAGAACCAGACAAGCATTGAAAGCAAGCTTGTGATTGTCGACGCCATGAATCCATCTCTTTGTTAAACAATCAAAGTCTTTCATCTTCTTGTTGAACACCTCCTGTCTTGCCTTTGCTGCACCCTTAAAAGCTCTTACTTCCGGGGTATCCATCTCTGACACAACGGCAAAAACTTGCTTTTCATGTTCGCTCTTGCCACTGTAACCAGAGTCCGCAATCACTCGGCATCCCTCTGGTACCATATCAAGAAACTCTTTGCGAATTGCTGTCATGTCATGGGTACTCCCAGTATCTCCAAGATTGGCGTACCAGACATGGTTTGTCCAAAGAGAAAGGACGATCTGGTAGTTGAGACCGGCAAAGTTGAATTTGTAAGCATAGTTCTTGGGATTTCTCCTCATATCTGGATCTCTTGGCTCATTGGTTCTCATCTGAGTGCCATCGACAGTTGCTCCCATTCGCACTTTCCATTCAGTTGGGCATTTGATTTTGTATTCTTTCAACTCTCCTATCATTCGAACAAAGCGCCATGTAAACGCGCAAATATTGTCGTGACAAATATTGAATCGAGCATTCCGCACATCGGCTGTCTCATAGAGACGAAGAAAATTGTTGGCAAGCATGAATCCAATGAATGAGTTCTTTTTCTCTGCCTCTGCCGCTTCGAGGATTCCATTGACTTGAAGATCACGATAGACTCGAGCAAGGTGGAGAGGATTTTTTCCGAAATGCGCTTTGAATTGACGGACGTTTGTGCTTGTCAGGCGCCTTGCCTGGGTCTTCTCGTCTACGTTACAAGCCTTCAGGCCCTCCCGTAGGATGTAGGAAGGTGGTATAAGGAACGGCTGCTGTTGTTGTTGAGCCATCGTGTCATTGTGACTCTTTCGATGGTGGAGTTGTGGAGGAAAAAATAGTCGTTCAATAGTCGCGGTGGAGTCGCGATAGTCGTTCTAGTCGCGGTGAATAGTCGCGCTAAAGTCGTGGTAGCGCGACTAGAACGACTTTCGGCGATCCACCGCGACTATTGAAAATCCGGAAATGTTTAGGGTTTAAAATAGGGCTATACGGTAAACCTGGGGCCCTCCAGAGACAGACAGTGTGATGATTGACAGGCCCATCAATCATTGTTTCAGCGATGACACCACGCACAAAACTCGGTGTCATTTGGAGAAAACGAGAAAACTGGCAGGAAGGGGCGAAGAATAGATCTACCCTCAGTTTTATGATAAAATGCCACCAGTTATTTTTTTAAATTATTAGTTGTGTTGGCATCAGCGTAGCAGAGCACAGGTCTTTCAATAGAACCTTTGGTTACTATGCATACTGTAGCGAGGAGAAACACTTTAGATGATTATTGTATGGCAAGCAAACAGTCGTGCAGTGGTTGCGTTGCAACATTAGCTCTCCAGCTAGCAATGCATAGCTAGCTAGATCTCTAGCTAGCCAGAGAAGCCAGAATTTGGGGATGCATGTAGTAAAAATGAACAAACGACAACGGCCCTCTCTCCATCCTCTGTGGTTTCAAAAACTAATAACCTTAGACAATTCTGTAGCCCTGCAACCTGGGGAACCTGAACCTGGAACCATTACTAACACTTTACTAGCTAGCTATGGTAGCTCTACTAGTAAGCCAGAGTACAAAAGCAATGGTCTCTGATGATAGGTCTCCTTACTATTCCCGATTGCTGTACGGTACTGGCTAGCTTCCGTACCGGGGGGTTTATTCCCTACTAAAGATCCACTCATTCTATTCTAGCTAGCTACTAGCTAGTGGGTGCTAGCTAGCTGTATCGGCATGTACCATACCAGTAGCTACTACAGTACTGAAGAGCGGTAACACTGGGAAACTCCATCGCACAAAACCAAATCAATTGTTGTCACACTGTACCGGTACGGATAAATGATGACTTCCAGTTTTAGGCTCATGATGAGATGGATGGTTCTTCCGGTACAATGTTCCCATCATTGAAGAAAATAGCTAGCTAGTTAGCTACTGTAGCAAGTAGAATGAGCACTGGATGATCAAGTAGTTGAGAAGTTAGACTACTCTGGTTTGAATACATTCATTTCGTTCTGGCGACCATTGCAACATAACATCCATGATGGAACCTGCAGCGAGATGGATGGTAATGTAGTATCTTAACACAAAGGTTAAGATAATAAGGAACATTCGTCACCAGACACCAGATGCCCGCACAGTCATTGAATGATATTTTTTGGTTGGCGTGAGAGTGATGTGAGTCCCACTGTCTATTTATTTGTAACGGCCTGTGAACTGGTGATTGCTGGGGAGTGGTTTCCGAGACAATTGGAAGGGGGCAGTGTGACACAACCAAGAAATAGACAATAAGTCTCTAAGAGCACAGCGCGCCAGAAAGACGGATTTTGGTTACGGCAGATGGCGGGCTGGACAAGACTGTGGATGTTTCAGTAGTTGGTCGAATTTTCTTGTAAAAGGGACTGCGGTGATACAGACAGACCATGGTGTTGTCGGGCCGTTTGTACCACTTGGGAGCGGCGTTCCATTGCAATCTCTGTGTTGCGGGTTGTCTCTGTTGTTCCAGTTACGGTAGTTAGTCTACTAGCGTCAAGACAAGAGACCACCAGTGCGAGTGCTCTATTATTGGAGCCTGCCTTGGACCAGGAAATAGAAGAAAGCGCTAGCTATCACAAGTTTCTGTCTCGATCGAGGAGGCCGAATTCGTTAGTCTATTCATTCTACAAAAGAAAAGAGTGGAGGGGAAAAGTTCAGTCTAGCTAGTTGACGATGCCGTCTTACTTTGACAATCTGCGAGACGAAGAGTACCATCCCAGCGGCAGTCGTAGTAGAAGTCGCAGTCGCAATACATGCAATGATGGCAGTGATCAAGAGTACTTGGACGAATCGTACGATCGGTTCAGTGATGAACCGGACTCTCGTGACTCTGGCAGAAGAGGCCCTCAGGCGCCATACACGTCTTCTTCTAATAGTCGAGAGTACGGAACTACTACGACTGCTGCGAAAAAGAAGAAGAAGAAGAAGAAGAAACCCAGTCAAACGTCTTCGTCGGATGAACATGATTACACAAGTTCCACGACGAGTGCCATGAGTTACAGTCGATCGTCTTCCAGCAATCCAAACAACAATAACGGTGGGAATGACATTTACGCGGCATACACCAAGAATAAAGAGAAGAAGAATGATCTGTTCGAAGCGTATCGAAAGCTATCAGTCATCCACACTGGGAATCCAAACTCCAACGGGCGAGCCAGCACCACGATCACCAGGAGTACTACTACTGGCAGTGGAAACCAAACCACCATCACTAGCAATCACGATGAAGAAGAACATGCCAGTGCCAGTACTCAATTGAGTACAGAAGAAGAGGAACATTCACAACTACAACACTCCACAGAACCACTCCACAAAGGACCTACCAACATG